GGTTGAGGAGGGAGGGGAAGGATTTGGTTAGGTCTGGGTTGGTGGGTAGGATTTAGGGATTAGGATCCGCTTCTCTCCCTGAGGAAGATTGGGAGAAAAAGCCGAGCTCGCGTGGGCAGGGGCGCATCCCTGAAGTAGACCTGTCTTTACCGGGATCGTAAAGAGTGTCTACCCGCTACCACCAATCATTTCTAAGTACGTGCCCGAAATATGTTGTCTTTCGCCTTTTAATGGTGGTCAAATATTCTCTGTTTCTTCCCATTCTACGTAACACCATTTCGTTCGTAATATGATGGTATCAATAAAAGATTCTGCAAGAAGAGGAGAATTGTTTATTCTCCAGTAAGAATTTGTTAAATTTTCTACCAAAAGTAAACCCATTTTGTTAACCATAGTTGTATTAAATGATCTGCATGTTATTAGACGTTTGTTGGCTAATATTTGCCTACGAATGTGTAAAGGTGGTTATTGGGCTTTTACTAGAACTTTTAAAATACTTTCTTTTATTTTTTACAAAGGTGTGAAATTATTAATAGCATCAGATACGCAGATGACATCGTCATAATGGCAAAGAGTAGAGAAGATCTTCAAACTCTGTTAAATGCATTAAAAAATGAATTCAATGGAAAGGGTCTGTCAACGGAAAGAATACAAAATGGATAATGGTAGAGAGTCTAGAGTGACAAGTAGCTCTTCTAGACAGCAGACTCAGTAAAACTTAGGTTTAAATTAAATAAAAATATATTCGAAATAAATAAATAACAAAGTAAAATTATTTCCCAGGTAATATATACAATACATATATATAACCCGACAAGCGAGAGCTGGCGGGTTGCGCGTAGAACAAATTAAAAAGTGGAAGGAATTGCTCATTTCTATTGCAGTCGGCTAGGAGTTCACATCGTGTATAACCGTTTAAGTACCTATACTATATACCTATAATCGCGATTAAGTACCTCTCCTATCTCTCTTAGAATAATTCCTTTTCTATTTTCGCGCAGCTCACCCGCCAGCTCTCGCTTGTCGGATTATACATATATACAATTTCAAGGATATACAAAAGTATCATAGAAAGCATTGCTACATATGGTTCAGATCTTTGGGTAATAAATAAAAATGACGCATCCAAAATAAAAGCAATGGAAATGAATTATTGGAGAAGATGTTGCCGACCCACTAGAAGAGATAGAGTAGGGAATACTGAAATCAGAGAGCGTATGGGCATAGACATTGACATCCTGGAAACTATAAAATGCAAAAGGCTGAAATGGTATAGCCATGTAGACAAGATAAATGATCAACGATGGCCAAAGAGAATGTTACAGTGGATCCCCACCAACCGCAGGAAAAAGGGAAGACCAAGAAGATCGTGGAGGCAAGAAGTAAAAGGTGCAATGGAAGATAGGGGTCTACAAGTAGATGACTGAAACGATTGCGAAGCGTTGGAAGCTAGGTTGCGAGAAACGGCGGCAGCTGTAATAAACTCGTTATATTCTTCTTCTTCACGTGCCATCTCCGCTACGAAGGTTGGCTATCATCATGGCAATTTTGACCCTGGAGGCTGCCGCTCGGAACAATTGTATGGAAGTGCAAGCAAACCACTCCCTGAGGTTTCTCAACCACGACATTCTTCTCCTACCTATGCTGCGCCTACCTTCAATCTTTCCTTGCATAATTAGTTGTAACAGTTGATATTTATTCCCACGTGTAATATGTCCCAGGTATTGTAGTTTCCTCATTTTAACACTCAATACGACCTCCTTTTGTTTGTTCATCCTGTCTAATACAACTTGGTTAGTTATCTTATCCTTCCAGGAGATTTTTAACATTGGTCGGTACGCCCACATCTCAAATGCCTCCAGCTTACCCATACATTGCTTATTTAGTGTCCACGCCTCCACCCCATACAACAGGACCGAGAAAACATAACATTTAAGCATTCGTAAGCATTTTCAGCTTTAGGCTTAGGTTACGGCTACACAACATTTGTTTCATATTGTTAAAGGCACTGCGGGCTTTCTCTATTCTTATAATCTTAATAAACTCGTTATATATATATATATATATATATATATATATATATATATACAATTTCAAAACGTCAATCTTGGCCACGACGGCATCCACGGCGGTATAACCCACTGATATAAAATCTAAATGGCAATTATGCTGTAATATTACTTACACACATGACACAGACGGTAGGAAACTGGTCGAAAGAATAGAGATAATGCGGGTAAAGGTCGATTCAGACACATCAGTCACGTCTCGTCACAGTGATTGCGCCGAACCGAACAATCCGTCATACAAAATATTCTTTAATACAAATATGTTGCCGGCATTCACACTCATCAGTTGACAAACAGTTTCCCAGCTGTCAGATAGTTGATAGTTCTGTGACCAAACAGGACCGGTTCGGCGCCGAGACTATGACGTGACTGATGTGTCTGAATTGACCTTTAATCAACACTCGGTCCGGCAAGAAACGGATAGTGTCCAACCAGTACTTGGACACAGGAGAGAATAGATATGTCTCAGATCAATATTCCAAGACCGGATACGGAACTGCCACAATACTCTAGTACATAGCCTGATTTTGTTCCCCTCTAAATATAAATTTGGCAGGACTTGGTCTACCTGGCCTTTAGGCATACGTCCATTAGCGACTCCACTGCTCCTACAAGTCCGACACCAAATAAAGCGGGACAATGCCGAAACATCGTGAGGCTCCACCTTACCGTAGTACCTGTGTTGCGAATACGTCACCCGTCCTTAACTAGTTGGGCCTGGCAGTTTCTAAAAAAAGATTAATCGTGTGAGGGTAAATAAGTAAACAGTTTTTAAAATAAACTTGACAATAGTCTAGGAAAAGGAACTTCTCTATCTGTGTATACAGCTGTATACAGCCTTGCTGTCCAATTTTGAATACAGCCCACCTCATTTGTGGCCTTCCTCTTTTTCGTTTGTAACTATATGGTCTCAAGTGTATAATCATCTTATTCCATCTGTCGTCTTTCTGTCTTATGGCAAGTTCAGCGAATTTCCACTTAAGTTCTGCTATCTGCGTTGGTACATCGGTCAATTTTGTTTTGTTGCGGAACCAAGTATTTTTTTTCTTGTCTGATAACCTGATGTTCAGAATTTGCCTTTCCATGGCTTTTTGGGTCTTTGCTACTTTTTCTATGTTTTCCTTTGTAAACGTCCAAGTTTGAGAACCGTAGGTAAGAACAGGAAGTATACAGTATTGTGCGAATTAATGGAATCATAGGCTGTTTTAATGAAAAAATAGTTTATTTAGTAAAAAAATATATTTTGACAAAACTATAAAGGTAAACTTACATCATTCAGTAGGAAATATGTCCCCCTTTGGCAGCAATTACTGCTTGTACCCGTTTTGGCATAGATTCTATGAGTTTCTGGCAGTTGTCAGATATCCTTTCATGCAATTTTAGTGGTACAGTCGATTTTTCGCAGTCTAGCTTTGCAAATGGCCCATAAATTTTCAATGGGGTTGAGGTCGGGCGAATTACCGAGCCAATCTAAAACATTAATCTTCTTATTTTTGAAAAATGCCATCATTTCCATTGATTTGTGACAGGGAGCAGAGTTCTGTTGAAGAATCGCTCCTCCTTGGGGTTGACATTTTTGAAGTTGTTTGTCCAAATACTTTTCCAACATGGATTTGTATTTTTGTCTGTTCATCATGCCTTCAATTGGCACCAAAGATCCAACCCCCATGTATGAAAAACATCCCCAAAACATTTTCTTGACTGGATGTTTTACGGTTTGATCAATATAAGATGGTGTAAGCTTTTCATTGTCAGACTTCCTGACGAATTTTGACCGCTGTACCTTTTTCCTAGTCGCCTACAGTCCAATTAGAGTATTTTTTGGCCCACAGTAGCCTTTGTTTCTTCATTCGTTCAGTTAGAAGCTGTTTTTTCTGTGAACGAATTGCTCTTCTACCATTCTCCAAAAGTCTTCTACGAACAGTTGAGTCATGAATCACTACAGCTGATACTGCTAGATCTTGTTGTAGGTCTTGGCTTGATTTTCTTGGATCCAATTTGCTCTTTCGAAGTAAAAAGCTATCATCTGCTGGTGTTGTTTTTCTCTTTCTTCGACATTTTCCTAACCTTTTCACATCCACTGATCCCGTTTCTCGTTTACGCTTCAAAATTTTGCTTACTACCCCCTGACTCACTCCACACGTTCTAGCAATCTCTCTTTGTGACATACTAGTGTGTTCACTCAACGTGACAATCGTTTCACGCTTCCTAGGCGTAATATCCATGTTGGAATAAAACCAAAAACAACACAAAATAGTACAAAAACCCCCAAAACAACACAAGCTTGGTAAGAAATGACCTAAAACACACTCAAACACACCAACACACAGTAAGGTTATGTTTTCAATGCTTGGTCAGCTGTCAACTGTGTAGGTAGTGTTGCCAACTGTGAATATTGAAAAAATGAAAAAAAATTCAGTGATTCCATTATATACTATACATTGGTTGAAGACTTTTTTTTAAATATTGGGGCTATTTTCTATTTTTTAGTATATAGAAAAGTTTTCCGAAGAATACCTAAGCCAATCGTATCCTTCTCTTTATTTCTCCGGTCTGATTTTCTTTATTTAATTTAACTAGTTGTCCCAAATATACATATTCTTTTACTTGTTCTATAGTTGTTAGTGCAATTGTAATTATTAATAATTCTTCTGGTTGGTTGGTTATAATTTTCGGTCATTTGTAGACCTATTTTTGTTGATTCGCTATTTAATTCATCCGTCATATTTTGTAATTCTTTCCTTTTATCTGTTATTAATACAATGTCGGAACTTAACGGAAAGGAACTTAACAATAGTTATTTCAATAAAAATATCGTAATTTTTTGTTAAATATGACTACCACCTGCCGTTATCTCTTGTATGAAATGATTATGGTTATCTAGAGCTATATAAGAATATGAAGTACTGATACAATGGAATTGTGGACATTGTTTTTTGTGACGTGTATCAACCTATAAGGTTGGCGTTCTTTATCGGATGAGAGAAATGCTGTAGACAAGTAAGTTTTTTATAGAATCTCAAGCTTATCGCTTGATAATTTACACTAAAAAATGTTCGGTGCATTGTGTTTTGGAAGTTTAAAATTTCATCAATCAATTTCATGTCTATTTAATTGTATTTGTCATCATTAAGATATAATATATTGTATGAGGTACAATTTTTACTTTGACATATTAAAATGTAAATATTTATCTATTTTTTTTTATTTATTTTATGTCGTCCGAATCACTGAAGTTATAGACCACAACAACGGAAAATACATAGAACAAATAACTAACATGAAAGAAAATTTTTATACGTAATTTGTGACACAAACTAGATTTTAATTTAAATATATTTTATTTCTATAGCCGTTAAAAACTTTATAATGTTGTTTAGATGATTATTGTCTCTAAAAAGATCGCCTATGTCGCTGGGAAGGTTGAGTTTACTTCTTGTTTCCTGGAAAATTTGACATTTGGTTAAAACATGTTTTACTGTACTGTTGGTTTGACACTGATTGCAGTATGGAGAGTTGTCTCTTTTGATTCGGTAAAGATGTGTATGGCGGGTGTGATCAAGTCGAAGTCGAGTAAAGATGACTTGTTTTTTTGTAGGTAACACAAAGGCTTGTTTTTGTAAAGCATTGTCTTTAATTTGACTTAGTTTTTCGGAACACTGCGACGATTTGTTTTGCCACGCTCAAATAACTATGTTTTTTAAGCACAATTTAAGATCACTTAGCACTATTTTATTTAGTTGAACTTGACCATCACTTGCCGCTGCTTCGTGAGCTATACAGTGCACAATCTCGTTACCTTGTACTCCAATATGAGATGGAACCCAAATTAATACCACATGTTTGTTTTCCTTTGCAGAATTTAGAAGTTATTTGTAAATGTCTTTATGAATAGAGTTGCTGGAGTATATGTTTTGGATGTCGTAAAGGGCATTCATTGAGTCAGTTATCTTCTTCTTCTTCTTCTTTTTTATAAGCAAAATGCTTGTTCAATGTCGATTAATGCCTCTATTGGAGGTTATCACTAGATCTTTTGCGTGGTCGCCCGATACTTCTTCTACCTTTTGGTGATTTGTCGCTATTCTGACTAATCGGGTCTCTTTCATTCTGTTTATGTGTTCGTTCCATTCTTTTTTCCATTCAGTGTCCACTCATTTATTTCTGGTATATTGCATTTTCTTCTGATCTCTTCACTCCTCATTCGATCCCTCAGTGTGTTTCCTGTAATTCTCCTCAGTAAACGCATCTCCGCTGTTTCTAGTAGTTGCTGAGTTTTGGAGGTATCCAGTCTTGTCTCTGAAGTGTATGTCATTATTGGTCTTATTGTTGCTTTGTAGATTCTTGATTTCACGTCGGTATTAATGTGGGGATTGCGCCATATCGTGTTATTAAGACAACCTGCTATTTTATTAGCCTTTTTGTACTTGATTTTTCACTTCCTTCTCCACATCTCCATAGCTAGACAGTGTAATTCCTAGGTAATTTGTCTCCATTACTTGCTCAATGCTGATACCGTCGATTTCCAGTTTACATCTAATTGGTTCTTTACTGATTACAATTGTTTTAGTTTTCTGTGTAGAGATCACCATATTAAAGTCCTTTGCCCTTGTGTTGAATCTATGGGTTAGTCTTTGTAGATCGTCTTCATTGGAAGCAATTAGGGCCGCATCATCTGCATAGCAGAGTATTCTGATTTCTTTGTTCCCCATTTTGTATCCTCTGCCTTTATTAATAGTATTGATGATTTCATCCATGATTAGATTGAATAGCGTTGGACTAAGCGAGTCTCCTTGTCTTATTCCATTGCCCATATCTATTGGATCTGTAATCTGGTCATCTATTCTGGCTTCCATATTGTTGTTCTGGTAAATGTTCTCTATTGTTTTTATAGCATTTAGTGGAATTTCTCTATCGTAAAGAAGGTGAATTACATCTTTAAGCTTTACTTTATCGAACGCTTTCTTCAGGTCTATTAGACATCTGAACGATAGAGTATAATAGACCAGCATTCATATGTCTAATTGAGTCAGTTATGATTGTGTAATTTCTCTGACCCGATTTGTTAATGAATATTAGAGCTTCAAGGATTGCATATAGTTCTGCATTGGAGATAGTCCAGTTGTTATTCAACTTAAATTTAGCATTATTAATATTAGAGAAAATTTCGTCCGTTGTTTTTAATGCATCTGTGTAAATCTGTCGGTAGTCGCTAAATCTATTCATAGTACCTTTGAAGTGGTTTATTAATATGGCTGGTGGGTTTTCATATTTATTAAATTTTGATAGATCAGTGATCACAGTTGGTTTATTTACAGTCCATTGAGGAGGAGGGTTTTCACAAGGGTGGTATATTTTTAAAAATATTATGCTATATTTATAAAGTAATCGATTAATTCGTTCAAAGAAAGGCATAGGGTCATATCTGCGGCGAAGGTTGGCAATCATTGTGGCTATTCTGATCTTCAAGGCAGCTGCTCTGAACAATTGTCTTTAGCTACAACCAAACCACTCTCTCAGGTTTTTCAACCAGGATACGCGAATTCTTCCTATGCTTCTTCTACCCTTTATTTTTTCTTGAAATATGAGTCTCAAGATGTTGTATCTCTCGCCTCTCATCACATGTCCGAGATATTGAAATTTCCTTTCTTTTATTATATTTTCTATCTATATAAATTTGATATCAATGTTACATCCTTCACATCCATATTCTTTTTTTTTGTGAGTACTTCTATAAGTCGGTTATGTTTTACCTTATCGAATGCCTTATTGTAGTCTATAAAACATACATAAAGATCTCGATTAACATCCAAACATCTTTGGTTGAGCATGTTAAAAGAAAATAGTGCCTCTCTTGTGCCCACTCCATTCCGAAATCCAAACTGGGAATCATTAATATCCATCTCCAGCTTAGCGTGTATTCAATTATGGATGATTTTTAGCAGGTTTTTTGAGGTATGTGACATGAGACTGATCATTCGATAATCACTACATTATTTGTAGAATAGATTGGATTCATTAGTTGGAGTAAAAGATCTATGTTTTTTTCATTGACCAGTTTCAGCAATTTACTTGCTATTTCATCTGGACCAGCAGCTTTATTATTTTTTATGGACTTTACTGCATGCATAACTTCTGACTTTGATATTTCGGGTCCCTCGTCTTTATTCTGATTATCTTCATATATATTTTCCTGTATCTGGCCATGGAATAATTCCTCCATATATTCTTTCCATCTTCCTAATTTTTGTTCCGTCTCCACTAATATGTTTCCTTGTTTGTCCAATAGTATGTTTGAGGTTTTTTGTTTTGGTATCCTAGCTAACTCTTTACCTTTCTTATGGAGATTGAAGTTATCATATTTGATTTGTAAGTCTTCTATTTCTTGGTATTTTCCAGCAAAATAAATCTCTTTAGTTTCTCTTCTTTGATTATACAACTGTTGATACTAGAGTCATGTTGATATTCTTTTGCCTTTTTCTATCCTCCATCATTTCCAAGATTTTTTCTGTCATCCAATCTCCTTTCTTGCATCTGGTTGTTGTGAGTTCTCTGAGACTTAGTCCGATAATTGCATTTTTAAAGAATTGCTACTGTTGTTCTTCATCACCATCACTTGATTTCGGTGTGGATTCTAATTTTTGTATGTTTAGTTATCACTTTTGTAGCTTTTTTGTATATTTTTTAAGTGAAGATGTTTTTTGCTACAAAAGGACCAATTTTACCTATACCTAAAACAATGTCAAACTGAGAATATCCCAGTAAGTCGCAATCGCAACAGGTATTTCTTGGTTTTAGTTTATGCGAAGAATTAGATTTCAGCCAATTGACTGTCATCCCTTTCATACCTGGGAATTCATAGTGACACCTTTAGATCTGTCAGCAAAACGCCCTCTTTGAAAGATACATTTATTTGGTGTGTAATAGCTTTTATGTTTTATGCTTTTATTTTTGTTCATTGCGTTATTAAATATTCAACAATTTTTTATAGATGTTGCGTCAGCTACGTAGTAACTATCTGATGCAACATAATTTTTTGATATTGCATCGTGTATTAGTACGAATATGATACAAAGTACTTATCTATATATTGATGAAAGTTTTGTCAACACCTATGTTCAAACAAACTAAATGTATGTAAATATGTTCATAGAAAGGGGAAGAACCTTTAAAAAATGAATGTTCTAATCTTGAAGTTTGTTGGATTTATTTAGATATTAAGAAGATTTAAAAAATCACCTGATGTGTACTTAAAGATTAACTTTATGAGTGGTATTATGTTTGAGAGCAAAAAAAGATGAATAAATTAATCTTCCTCTCTTATATTTCTTAATAAATAAAATTACGGAATTTAATATTTTTTGACATAAAGAGTGATGAATATTTACTCATATGTCCTAAAAAATTAAAAGGAATCAATTCGGAACCACGGAATAGCTATTTAAAATGAGTTATCCAGTTACCAATCCAACTCCTTCTCTGTGCTTACTCCTTCGTAAGCATGTAGTGGCGTCATATAATTTGTTTGACTATTTCTTTCCCATTATCTCTCTCCTGTGCGTGTTGTTTTGCTTCGGAGAATATGTAACCAGTCATGTCCTTTATTTGATCTGACCATCGTACTAGCGATCTTCCTCTGGATCTTCTACCCGCTACGTTACCTTCAACTATCATTCGCCCCATGCCTTCTCTTTTCTAGTTATATGTCCAAAATATCTCCACTGTAAGTAATAACGGAGCCTAAATAATTAAATTGTCGTACCACTGCTGATACCTTCTTTTTAAGACCAGTTGATAAGACGGAACTCATTTCAACAATTCGTAGTATAAAAAGCACATCGTCCTGTAGTACAGATGGATTATCTATTAAAATTTTCTCAAATCTACCGCATAATGTTTTGGACGTCATGGTCTCGCTAGTAAATGATTCCCTTGAAAAAGGTACATTCCCTAACTGCCTAAAGACTGCCATCGTCATTCCTCTTCATAAAGGTGGAGAAAAATCTGATGCCTGCAACTATAGACCAATTGCCTTGTTACCAGCACTATCAAAAATTATTGAAAGACTTATAAAAGTTCGACTTATGCCCTTTCTCCTTAAATATAATATTTTATCGCAAAATCAGATCGGCTTTTTGTCTAATAAATGCACTAGTGATGCCATATTTTCTGTGTTACATGATGTATATCTATCACTAAACAGTAACCTCTCCTCCGCCACCGTTTTCTGCGACTATTCCAAAGCCTTTGACTGCGTAAATCACGACATTCTATTAAAAAAATTAACTTTCTATGGAATTCGGGGTGTGTCTTTGAACTGGTTCAAAACTTACTTGGTAGGTAGGAAACAATTGGTTAGAATAAATGACACCGACTCTAGTTGTAAAGATATTGAGTGTGGAGTACCGCAAGGTTCAGTATTAGGTCCCATTCTTTTTTTACTTTTCATTAATGACATCACTTACTTAAAAATTAAAGGGAAAATTTTTCTATTTGCTGATGATACCAGTATTACATGGAGCAGCTCTGATATTTCAACGCTTCATTCAATTATAACCGATGATTTACTTATAATCAAGGCTTGGTCAGACTCCAACTTACTTAGCTTTAACGTGGATAAGACTGTAGCATTATCTTATAAAGGAGTCATGCAACCCTTGCTTTTGAATGAGAGCCAAATCAATATCGTAAATTCCGTGAAATTTCTAGGTATTCTCATTGACAGTGATCTCAAATGGTCCTTGCATACTGGCTCCTTAAGGAAGAAACTAGCCTCAGCTTGCTTTGCAATAAGATCTGTTTCGAAGGAACTAAATTTATCTTCTGCCAAAATGGCATATTTCTCATTGTTCGAGTCCCATCTTCGATATGGGCTTCCATTTTGGGGTTCTAGTACAGCGGCCCAATTTGATACTATTTTTAAGTTGCAAAAAAGAGCAATCCGTTATCTATTTGGTCTCAAACAAACAACTCATTGCAAGACTTACTTCAAAAATCACGGAATTTTGACGCTTCCCTCTTTATTTATTTTGGAAACGGTTTGTTTGATTCGAAAGCATCTAAACATTTTTCCCGATAGACCTGACCATGGCTACTCCATTAGAAATTCGGATTGTAACGTTTATTTGCCGATCCCGTCCACTCAGCTAGTAAAGAATTCTATTCTATATCGTGCAAAGAAACTTTATAATCACCTTCCAAGAGAAATTAAATCCGCAACATCCTTCATTAAGTTTCGTAAGGTGACAAAAATCTATCTCTCAGAAAGACCATATTACTCAGTTGACGAGTTTCTTAATGTATAACAAAGAAACAAAATTAGTATTGTTTATAATTACATTTGGGTGTCTCAAGCAGTGGCTACAATTTGTCTCATTTGTTGTTGTTTGTACAAATTATGTAGGTTATACAATAATTTTACTAATTTAAAATTGTGTTATTTTGTTTTTTACTATATTGTTTTTGTTTTATACTTTTTGTATTATTTGACTGATTTATTTTTTAGCTTTGTCCATAAAATTGTTCAATAATTTTCAGTGACAATAAAGCATATTTCTATTCTATTCTATTCTACTTCGTAACCTGCCATGTTTCTTACCTCTTCTTGGTTCTTCTTCTTCTTTTTACGGTGCCTATTCATTCCGGATGTTGGCGAGTACCATGGCTATCCTAACTTTGCTTGCTGCTTTTCTGAATAGTACGGTTGTCGATGTATTAAACCACGTCTTCTTGGTTGTTTCTGATATTCTATCGATGTTCATCATTTTGGATTTCTGCATATTTATTTTAAACCATATTTCGTACTCACCGTGCCTAATCTATTCATAATTTGTTCCAGTTCTTCTGGTGATGACGTCAATATAACCGTGTCATCAGCATAACGTAGGTTTTTCAGAGCATTCCTCAAAAAACTGACGTATAATATGTTCACTATATACATTAAATAGAATAGGGGATATTATGCATCCCTGTCGAACTTCAGATTTAAATTTGAAGTTCTTCGAAACAACATTAATAACTCTCACATAATCAGTACTATTTACATTTAGTTTTTGTAATAAATAGATAAGATGTTCTGGCGTACCCATTTCTCTAAGGATATGCCATATGATATCCCATTTTACGTTATAGAAGGCCTTGGGAATAGTTAACAAAGCATAAATATGTTTCTATGTAAAACTCTCGAGATTTTTCGATAATTTGACGAATATTAAGAATATGTTCTCTTGTTCCTCTACCTGGATCGAATCCGCATTATTCTTGGGGAATTTTTGGTAAGATAATTGATTTTAGTCTTTCATTGATGATAGTTAGAAGTACTTTGCTCGCATGTGATATCAATGCTACTGTAGCGTAATTACTGCAATCTGTCGGTGAACTTTTTTTATTATGGGAATAAACGTAAGTTTACCCCAGTCATTTGGCCACTTTCCGGTATTCCAGATCTCATTGCAAATTCTAAACATTACTTCCGTCCCCAATTCTCTCATTTCTTTGAGTGTTCCAGCTGTTATTAAATCTTCCCTATCTGCTTTTCTGCATTTTAGTTTTTTAATTAGCGCCTCAATTTCTAATTTCAATAATTGAGGTTCTTTTTCACAATTTCTTTTCTCTGTATTATTGTCTGGGTCATTGTTAGACAATAATATTTCGCTATATTGTTTCCACACCTATGCGATTCCGTCTGGGTTTTTATGGTATTTCCACTATTATCTCTGATGATCTGTTTCTGACGTTTATTTCTTTTTGTTTTGCATTTGATGTGCAGTTCCTAGGTTTTCGTCTCTCTTCTACAAGATTCAGTCATCCAATCTTCAGTCATCCAATGTTTTTCCTAGTTATTTTGTCCTTGGGATTAGTATTGTTGATGGGGCTTTAGTGATCCATTTCTTTGTATATTCCCACGTTTTGTCAGAGTCTCCGGTAGTCACTGGTAGGTCAGCTTCTGCTAATGCTTCTCTAAAGTTTTCCGGGTATCTTGGAATCAATTTTTGTCTGTTATTTCTGATTGTTTTACTGTCTAACTTAATGCCAACAAGGTCCATGGCTTGGTTTACTATTCATTTCCATTTTTTCCTGATTGCTGTTTTATTTTTCCAGTTTGGGATTTTAAGTTCTTCTATGTCTTTTTTAACTTTCTTCTTCCACCTGTTTTTTCTTATAGCTTACTTTCTTCCGTTAGTATTCTTTTGGGTAGATATTCAATTTGGCACTCACCAAACTTTATGATATTTATTACTATTGTACACTTAGGTCAATGTCCTCTTAAAAACTGCTATTTAGTCATCGATTTCACATGTAATTATTGGATTTGTACTATTTTATTCTTTTTCCTAGTATCCCTCCTACAGAAACTTTTATTCTAGTAAAAAACCTTTTAGACCAAAATAGTACAAATCCAATAATTACATCTGAAATTTTACATCTTCTTGAAGTTTGCATAAACCAGGACTACTTTGAATTTGATAATAAAATATATACAAATAACAGTGCAGGACTTATAATGGGTAATCCTCTAAGCCCATTGCTATCAGATATTTTTATAGATCATCTAGAGACAAAGATTTCAAAACATCCCGTATTCAAACAGTTTTTATATTGGTGGAGATACGTAGACGACGTACTGGTATGTTTCACAGGAACTAACAGGCAACTCGACTCGACTTTTTATCGTATATTAATTCACTTCATAGTCATATTGAATTTACAATAGAAACAGAACAAAATCAATCCATAAATTTTTTAGATTTAAAAATTAGCAGACTTCAAAACAAACATGACTTCTCCATATTTCATAAACCTACCCATACTGACACGACTATACACAATTCATCATCCCATCCAACACAACATAAACTGGCAGCTTATCATAGTATGTTACATAGATTAACAGAAATTCCGATGTCAAAATACAACTTTGAGACAGAATTAAATATAATTAAGCAAATAGCAGTAAACAACGGATACAACGAACAAACAATTAATAAAATGTTAAATCAAAAACTACACAAGAAAGCCCTGAAATTAGTATTTCCACCACCAGAGAAAAAACCCAGTACCTTCTGCTCGATTACATATACAGGCAAAATAACAACAAAAATTGCCAAACACATAAAAAAGAAAGGAATAACACCAGCTTTCCGAACAAATAACAACCTAGGCAAATATATTAAAAATAACAAGAGCCAAAATAAAAAAACACTTAAATAGTGGTGTGTACAAACTTCAATGTGGCGACTGCCCAAAAACTTACATCGGTCAAACTGGTAGAAACTTTGATAAACGAATAGCAGAACATAAAAGGGCTTTCAAGAATAGAAAAACAGATTCGACATACGCACTTCACCTTCTAGATCATAATCATTCTTTTAATGACAAATTTAAAATTCTTCACATTCAAAATAAAGGCCTTAAGCTATCTTTGTTAGAATCTATGGAAATCAACAAATTAAAAAACACAGATATAATTCTGAATGACCAACTTGAGACAAACAGTTCTCCCCTCCTCAACCTATTTCATTAGAGACTATAAATTTGTAAACCCAAGCCAAAAATAGATCACTTGAGAAAGGCAATCAGCCGAAACAGCTGTAGTGATAATATTTAAAATAAATTTTGTGGAAGTTTGAAAACAAAGTTTTCAGTGTTTTATTGTTATACATATATCATTATAAAATTTTAAAGACTAAGTTTTTAACTATTTCTTTTCTTTCTTTTTTCAGATAAACAATGCCTCCCCGAATTCTTCTACATTCCCATCATGATCATGATCATCAGGAGTCTGAAGGAAGCGCCACCATAGCTAAGACTACAGCTATGTGCGTTCTCTTCACAGCCTCATTCATTATAGGAAACATACCGATCAAGTTAAATCAATGGCTCAATTGGAGTTCCGATGCGAAAAGTAACGCCTACGTAAAACTTCTTCTCGGCTTGGGCGGCGGCGTCCTCCTATGTACCACTTTCATTCATTTATTGCCGGAAGTCAGTGAAAATTTTGAGAAGTTGGATCTAACTCCAAACGTCGAAATACACTACGCAGAAGTATTAATGTGCGTTGGATTTTTCATAATGTATCTCGTTGAAGAATGCGTCCATGTTTATTTGGAATACAAGGAGAAGCCTCCAGATATGAAAATACCTTTAAAAGAACCAGTTGATGTCGATTTAGGTTTGGCACTAAAACGAAGTATTTCCATCAGAAGGGGGGAAATCCCTGACGTGAAGAGACTTCGTCAAGAGTTGGCTATAGAAGCAGAACACAATGGACACTCCCATTCACATTCTCACCATCATTCCCATACACCTGTTCACGGTGGAAGTTCCACAGTCGCCATAATTAGAGGACTACTAGTGGTGTTAGCTCTTTCAGTACACGAACTCTTTGAGGGTCTAGCTGTGGGCTTAGAAAGTTCTCCCAGCACAGTGTGGTATATGTTCGGAGCCGTAAGTGCACATAAATTAGTGATCGCCTTTTGTATCGGTGTAGAACTAGTAACATCGGGTTTGAAAACGTATCTCGTGATTATTTATGTATTTATGTTTGCTGTTGTGAGTCCAGCTGGAATAGGTATTGGAATAATGGTCAGCGAAACTGACAGTTCGTCAACTACATTAGTATCTGTGATATTACAAGGTTTAGCGTCAGGAACTTTAATGTACGTGGTCTTTTTTGAGATTCTACAAGGTGATAAAAGAGATGGACTTAAACAATTCGGTGCAATACTTCTCGGATTTTTAATTATGTTTGGTATAACCATGATAGAAGCTTAAGATATATTATAAGTTTTGTAAAAATAAAAAGATGACAAATAATTTTATTTTGTTTGTAAAGTGTAATACTTACCTTAACCCTTCGTAACGTGTTCTGTGGCCGTAAGCTGAAGAATAATAACAGTTCCTGACAGATTTTTCACCGACAGAGCTTCTGCCGGTATTTTATCTATTCCCGGTGCTTTATGACTTTTTTGTATGTGGATTTCCGTTTGGAGCTCCTCTAACGTTGGCGGTCTACAGTAAATTCAACTTCAAGTTACGGACAGAATCAACACAAGTCACCGCGTGATATTCGAGTCTACACGTGACGAACGCCTTGCTATTGGCCAAATTGTCGAACGATCGTAAGTCAGGCAGTTAGCCCTAACAGGTGCGGACTTCGTTTTTCCGCTCCGTCCTCTGTCGAATGCGAAATGGCCCAGTAATTTTTGTGCAAAGCTGTTTGTTGGTTTGTTTATTTGTTAATCGTTAGCTCGTGTGTGGATAGTGCAAAGCATTTTTAAGAACATTTAATTATAGTCGATACAAACTTTTTCCCCACTTTAAAATAATTCCTGTAAGTATAATAAAGCATTTATAATAGCCATAAGATAAGATATAATATCGACCTGCACTGATATGTTTAATGGATAAAAATTATTTAGTATGTTAAAAATTATGAAAAACAAGAGGTGCCCGATATAATTTTGTCCTGACTATAATTAATTTAAACTCTTTGCGGCACGAGATTTTATAAATTTTCTACAATGGACCCTTGGGGCATAGAAAGATTCAATTGCACACGTAAAAAGTAAAATGACCTCACTTTTCAAGAAACAACTGATAACCATTCGCGTTTGGCCAATAACTATACCGTGGGAATTTTACCAATTAAAGATAACACTTAATAGGGACAGAGGGAATAAGTAATACAAACCACTTGCGTAGGTGTAACTTGATAAAAATAGATTAATAAGTGATTCATTTTGTGGACTACTGTACAACATGTAGCAAAAATTTGGTGGTTCAAATTTCAATCCGATGTGCCGAAAAGAGTTAAAAAATACCTTTTTTTATATATTTAAAAAAAATCAACCCGGGCAGATATTGTTTTAGATTTTTTGGATCATTCTAAACAAAAATTTATTTTGTAATTTTTCTTAAGTTGATCGTGTTCGAGTTATAAATAATTTAAAACTGGAAGACAAGGAAGAATTGACAGGCGAACAAGAATTGACAGACGAAAAAGAATTGACAGACGAAGAACGATAGATGACGATTTTCAAGGATCAAAATCATTAGTAAAAAATATCACATTTACCAAAGCGGTGTAGGTAAACCTTATATCGGATCCTCTACTATAAAAGTAAATTTGAAAATGCCCATTTTGTTATTTTAGTTGAGAAAAGTATAATAAATCCATTTATTTAATATGTCTGATACGGAGTCGGCAAATGAAAATGAGGAACTGTTAACGCTAAGTCCTCCTAGGAAAAGAGCTAAGAAAAATCACGTAGATATAAGAATCAAAAAAATAATGGTTAATACATACAAATGTGAATTACAAGATAATCCTACTTTAGCGTTCCAAACACTGGAAAAAAATGCTATAATTGTAATGGACAATGCCCCTTACCATTCCAGAAAATTGGAAAAAATTCCCATTATGGCTACAAAAAAGGCAGATATTCAAAATTGGCTTCGCTCAAAAGACATTCCCTTTGAAGAAACGATGTTAAAGGTGCAACTTTTAGAAATCGTTAAACAACATAAAGGCGAATATAATAAGTACATAGTAGATGAACTGGTAAGAAGCACAAATAGAATAGTTTTAAGGTTGCCACCGTATCACTGCGAGTTCAATCCAATCGAGCTTGTATGGGCGGAAGTCAAGAATTATGTAGCATGGCATAACACAACATTTAAATTTGCTGACATTAAAAATTTATTTCATGAAGCTGTGTCTGCTGTAACCATGGAAAAATGGAAAAACTGCGTCAAACATGTAAAAGAAGAAGTGGAGCCAAAAATGTGGGAGTTGGACAATTTAATTGAGGCACAAATTGAGCCTATCATTATCAACTTTAATGATGACAACAGTACATCAGATTCTGAAAGTTAAGATAAAATACGGTAATTTTATAAACTTTTTTTGTATACTTTATTTTGTTGTTAATAACTCTCGACTTTGTAAATCATTTTTATATTTAAAAAATTGGTGTACTATAATCTGTACCTGTCAGACGTCTACAAATTATATAAGGTTTTGTATTGCAGCTTTAATTTACTAGTCCGGCCCTGAACAAACGCGTGTTTCCAGCGTGCATTTGTTTCCATCGTCCGTAGCTTGAAGTTGAATTTACTGTAGTTAATTCATTTTCTTCTCCATCTTTCCCCAGCCCTTGTTGTACCTCCTGCCGTGCCTGCTGCTGCCTCTGTTGTTGTAATGGTGGTTGTGTCCCTTTGTTTAGTAATTCCTTAAAATATCCATCCAAGTTCTCTTAATTTTGTCCATATCGCTAATAATTTCACCCTTCTTATTTTTGCAGAGGCTAGTCTTCGGTTTGTATCTCTGTTTTAAATGTTTGATAAATTGGTATGCACTACGTGTTTCGTTTTCCTTAAACTCTGAGTATATAATTCTTATGTGGTTCATTTCTTTTCTGTACAGCTTGTTTGTATTCTTCATCGAACCATGTTTCTTCTCTCCGTTGTGTCTCTGTTCCTAGGACTTCTTTCGCTGTGTTAAGTATGATACCTCTTATGGTGTTCCATTGGTTTTCTATTGTGGAGTCTGCTCTGATTTCTTCTAGTAATGTTTCATCCACTGTTCTCTCAATTCTTTCTTGTACCTCAGAGACTTTTAGGTTATCTAAGTTTAGTTTTTCTTGTTTTGGATATTTTTCCTTTACCTGTCGACTGATTTTATAGGTCTGATGATACTAGTAGAGGGTCTGAGTCCTTCTAGTTTCCTAGGACATAATTATAATATCATAATATCATATTAAAATGGTAATGTTAATTATCCAGTACGACAGCACATTCTTCTTCTTCCTATGCCGTCCCCATTAACGGAGGTTGGTCTCCCTAAAAGTTTCTCTGTCTTTTGCAACGTGGAGTAATTCGTCTACAGTCATGTTTGTCCACTCTCGAATATTTCGCAGTCATGAATTCCTTTTTCTACGTATTCCCTTTTTGCCATCGAATCTACCCTGCATGATGACCTGCAGAAGACTATATTTAGCAACAGCACATAGTATGCTGAATGTATGTGATGTTTCTAACATTACTGACAACATTATTTGCACAACCACAACTTATTTAATAGTACGGTATCGTAGGATTTCCATTAAAAAATATTCGGTCCATTAAAGCCTTATTACAGAACATATTACACTAATTCCCCTGTAATTATTGCAGTGTTTTCGGCTTCTTTTCTTTTGAATGGAAGATATACCTGCTTTGGGTTGTTCGCTACTTATATTTTCTGAGCCAGAGGCTTTCCTATTCTTTAGCTACATGCCACTTTGCATAATTCTTCTTCTTCTGACTATCTAATTCTTCTTCTTTTTCTTCTTCTGTGCTGTCGCTAAAGACTATATTTAGCGACAGCACATAGTATGCTGAATGTATGTGATGTTTCTTATAACATTACTGACACCATTATTTGCACAACCACAACTTATTTAATAGTACGTATGGTAGGATTTCCATTAAAAAATATTAGGTCCATTAAAGCCTTATTACAGAACATATTACACTAATTCCCCTGTAATTATTGCAGTGTTTTCGTCTTCTTTTCTTTTGAATGGAAGATATACCTACTTTGGGTTGTTCGCTACTTATATTTTCTGGGCCAGAGGCTTTCCTATTCTTTAGCTACATGCCACTTTGCATAATTCTTCTTCTTCTGCAGTCATCATTGCTTCTTGTTATATATTCCATCCTGAAATTTCTCCTGAAGTGTCTTCTTGAAATTCGATTCTATCTTCTATGAGGATCTTATATTTATCGAATTAAAGTCCATGTACTTAAGTACATGTGAAAAATGCGGATTCAACATTAAAAGACTCATTTAAGCTTTCCGGAGAGTATAGTTTTCTTTGGGCTGATTTTTCTTAGTCAGTTTCTATCGAACGTTATTTTTTTCATTACTCATTATATCAGTCAGTTATCAATCAAAGTACTTCGTATTCCAAGAAACATTACACAAAAAATAATCATTCATATCAAGCCAATTCACTTCATTAAAATATTGATTTAATTTATTTAAATCTGTTTTGTTAAATTGTATGATTATTTTTAAATTGATAACATCAAATTGGCAAATTAATAACAAGAGATCGCAAAATCATAATAAAATTAACCCGGAATATTGTCAAGCATGCTCATCAGCATGCTCAACCCTGTTTGGAGGTCTGGAGACTACACTACGAGGACAAAGATCCGCATATTCCAGTCAAATGTCATGTCTGTACTACTTTACGGATGTGAAACCTGGAAAGCGACAAAAACCCTTACAGACAAACTGCAGGTCTTTGTTAATAAATGTCTACGAAGAATTGTTCGTATTTTCTGGCCTAACATCATCAGAAACGAAGACTTACTACACCTGACCAAACAAAAGAGGGTAGTAAATGAAATAAAGTCCAGAAAGTGGGGTTGGATCGGCCACACACTCCGAAAAAATAACTCCAGTATTGCAAAGACTGTCCTAGAGTGGAATCCCCAAGGAAAACGAAAAAAAGGTCGCCCAGTACAAACTTGGAGAAGATCCATCATGGACAAGATAAGAAAACAAGGAAAGTCTTGGAATGAGGTGAAGGCCTTAGCGCAAAATAGAACCCGATGGCGCGTTTTCACTGAAGCTCTATGCTCCACTTAGGAGTTCAAGAACCTTATATATACTTTGCATAATTCTTCTTCTTCTGCAGTCTATGCAGATTCTATCTTCTATGAGGATATTTTATTTATATGAGATATTTATCGAATTAAAGTCCATCTTTAAAATTATGTCATAAATTGTATCTGTATTAGGATTTATTTTAGTTTTCTCTGCTACGTTGTTTACAAATAGTAACTCCTGTACAAGCATTTAAGCTTTCCGGAGAGTATAGTTTTCTTTGGGCTGATTTTTCTTAGTCAGTTTCTATCGAACGTTATTTTTTTCATTACTCATTATATCAGTCAGTTATC